TTCTGAGTAGTTATAACTCATATTAGTTGGGAGTTCAACACATCTGGAGGGTTCTAGATCTAGAAGGATGACTTAAATGAAGAACAGGGTTTAAAGTATTTCCCCCCTTAATTTCCCTTAAATGTATTTGCTTAACAAATTATGAAAGCTTCCTTTGTTTGGCGAATTCTGTCTGTGGTAAATAATTCAATGGAGACGTTGGCATTGGCTCCAGCGGCTATCCTTCGTTGTTGCAGCTTGCAGTGGTGCTTCGCCTCTATAGCCAGACTATTTATGGGACAATCTTTCTCTCATTACCTCTGCTCACCCCTCCAAATCTGGCACAGAGGACAACGCTCCAAGTTCCTTCTAGCAAACAATGCAATCTTGTTGGAGCCTGGAGTTGTGCCTTCTCAGTGGCACCATCTGCTCTTAACAAACAGAATTGCCTTGGATAGTTTGGATGGTTCTGGGTTGCTTTCACAAGGCACTGAAGACCTGGCAGTTTCCCCAGGTGTTTGGGTCAGAATAGGTGAGGTCTGCTGCTGTTAATGTTTGTTGTGTGTGTGTGTGTGTGTGAGTGAGAGAGAGAGAGACAGCACACACACGAGAGGGGGGGGGAGAGGGGAGAGAGAGAGAAGGAGAGGGGAGAGGAGGAGAGAGAGAGAGGGGAGAGAGTGCACAAGAGAGAGAGAAAGAAAGAGAGGGGGAGAGGGGGAGTGCAGAGAGAGAGACGAGAGAGAGAAAGAAAGAGAGGGGGAGAGGGAGAGAGTGCAAGAGAGAGAGAGAAAAGAAAGAAAGAGGGGGAGAGGGAGAGGGAGAGAGAGGGGGAGAGGGAAGAGAGCGCACAAGAGAGAGAAAGAAAGAGAGGGGGAGAGGAGAGAGAGAGCGCAAGGGAGAGAGAGAGGGGGGAAGGGAGAGAGAGAAGAGAGAAAGAAGAGGAGGGAGAGAGGAGCGCATGAGAGAGGGGAGAGAGGGTGAGGAGGGGAGAGAAAGAGAGAGTGCATGAGAGGAGAAAGAGAGGGGGGAGAGGGATGGAGAAGAGGAGAGGGGAGAGGGAGAGAGAGGGGGGGAGGAGCGCACAAGAGAGAGAGAGAAAGAAAGAAATAGAGTGGGAGACGGAGAAAGAAGAAAGAGATGGGGAGAGGGAGAGTGCATGATGAGAGAGAGAGAGAGAGAAAGGGGGGGAGAAAAAAGAAGAGGGGGGGGAGAGGGAGAGAGCGAGAGAGTGCAAGAGAGAGAGAGAGAGAATGGGGGCATTATTTTATCCTTTGGCATTGGAGATTGTATATTGCAGTTTTTATGCTTTTAGTTCTTACATGTTGCCCAGAGTCACCTGTGGGAGATGGGCAGCTGTCTACATCAAATAAATAATGGCTAACATTTCAAATTGTGACTCCAACCTAAGGAAGTGATTTTTAGGCTTTCTGTGTTTTTCAGCTTCACCCACTTCACAGATGCTGTGCGAAGAGAAAGACAGAAATGGATGTATGCTTCCCTAAGCTCGTTCTTGGAAGGACAGGATAAAATTATATCAGATTTGCTCTAGTGCAGGGGTCAGCAACCTGCGGCTCTGGAGCCGCATGTGGCTCTTTCACCCCTCTGCTACGGCTCCTTGTCAGTCAAAATATGCGTCACAACCGCCATTGTGCGACACCCGCTAGCACGCGATTTATTGAGCTTTTCAACCCCTGGTAGGCCAACCATGGATAAATCCACGAAAAAAAAAGTTTCAGAAGAAAACAGAACGTTTAATTCAATTACATATGCTAGTTTTGTGGCCGCTCAAGAAATAGTCAGGCACGGGAAGGGTTTTGTGGCTCCTGGTGTTTTCTTTTCTGTGGGAAATGGGTCCAAATGGCTCTTTTGAGTGTTTAAGGTTGCAGACCCCTGCTCTAGTGGTTGAGGCTTCAGGTTAGAAACCAGGAGACGGAGTTCTAGTCCTGCCTTAGACATGAAAGCTGGCTGAGTGACTTCTTTGTCACCCCTCTCAGCACAAGGGGAAAACAAGAAGGGGAGCGTTAAGTATGTTTACTGCTTGAGTTATTCATCAAAATAAGAAAGGTGGGATTTAAAAAAAACACCAAATCAAGTAAATAAATGAAAAGAATCTTGATAATGTCAAATTTCTTTTTGCCCAACTGAGTATTTTTTATATCATTATTATCTCTCTACCCCATAGAAATATACTGTTGATACTTTTATGCCTTATTCCAAAATTCAGAAGTATCCTTAGGAATGGAGACGCTCTTCCCAAAGAAGCCCTCACCCATGGGAATTTGCTTGAGATGATGGGCAATGTTTTTCTTTAGGACTACCCTTTTTAGCATTTCGTTCTTGATTCTCAAAAGAAAGAAGCCCAGGGCACAATGGATCCATGGAAGTCCCTGCCACAAGATGTGGTGATTCTCACTCTCTTAACAGGAAAATGATTAGATAGTGGACCAAAAACAGGACTAAGGTCTCTATGTAAGTGTAGAGGGGGAGACCTCAAACTTGGCAGCTTTAAGACTTGTGGACTTCAACTCCCAGAATTCTCCAGCCAGCTGGCTGGAGAATTCTGGGAGTTGAAATCCACAAGTCTTAAAGCTGTCAAGTTTGAAGACCTCTGGTGTAGAGAAACATTATAATTATTGAGACAAACAATAAAGGCAAGCAACTGCTTTCTACCCTGTGCTTATGCGTTTCCCAGAGAAACCATTCAGGTACCAGATCAGAGGAATTTTCAGTAGTGTTTCCAGAGTCTTTGCAGCTCCAACCTACAAATTACCCACCTACAAATCTGTAGTTAATTTCTGGACGCAATGCATAGCTGTTTTTGAATTGGTGTCCCCCTCAATTTCCCTAACTGCAATTCTCATTGTCATTGGATAGCATGGCTCTTTTCTAGGTGATGGGCAATGTAGTTTATACATTTTACATATGTGGGGGTGAGGATGGGGGAACCAGATTGGAGAAGCTGGGACAAGTGTGCATGATTGTGGCTCATTCCGAGAGGGGGGAAAAAACTCAGAATTTTAGGACAGGAAGTGTGGATCTATTTAAAGCAGTGGTTCCCAACCTTTTTTTGGCCATGCCCCACCTAAGCATCTCTAAAATCCTGATGCCCCACCCGACCCTGTGACATATAATTCTTATTATTCAAAAAGCGAACTCCTACTCATGCGGAGGAAGCCTAAAAGGCCATTAACTTGGTTTAAACAAGGTTGGGGATATTGAACAGAACCTACAGTAAAGAAATTAGATATTTGATTTTACATATAATTACAGCAGCAAGGATAGTCTACGCACAGTCCTGGAAAAATGAAAAAGTCCCAACAGAGGAAGAAATAATTAAGAAAATCCTGGACTGTGCGGAGATGGACAAATTAACAAAAGAAAGAAAAGAAAAGGAAGATAAGAGAATATTATCATATATGGACTAAGTGGTATGATTGGCTCGAGATTAGGGAAAGTAAAAGTCAACAGTGGATGTGACAAATACTGTAAATGAATAAAACTAGAAATAAAGGGATGATAAAGAATGAGAAAAATGGAGAATGTAGAAAGTAGAAAGAGGAGCGAAGCTGATAGGTAAAAAGAAACACATATTGATTGTGTGTTTGTGTTTTGTATGTTGTGTTGTTGTAAAATTAATAAAATAATTAAAATAATTAAATAAAATTGCCCTCCTGTGGGGCGTGGGAGCCACTGATTTAAAGTATCTAATAAGGAAGCAGACATTGGTTATGTCCTCCTCGACCACGGAGTCCTGACTTTGTCCCCCTCTTCCAGGATAAGCAACCTCACAAGGCTGTTGTCCTGTGGGAGCAACATTAGGGAGAGGAGAGAGAAAACCTCAATTGGAAAGGGGACTTTTAGTGCCAAAGAGCCCTTTTCCATGGGAAAGGCCTAACAATCCTTCGGGCGTCACTCAGGAAAAGAGGCGCTCGGTGCAAAGCGAGATAAAAAGGCGCCCTCAGGGACGACTGGCGCGCGGGACAAAATGTGGCGGCATCTCAAAATCCGCCCCGGCAGTCCCAGGACGAGGCGGCCGCCTCTCCAAAAAAAAATAAAAATAAAATGGCAACGCTGCGTCTTTGCGCGCGCGCTCGAGGCGCCCGGCTTTGCAACTGAGGCGGCTTCCCACACTCCCCAATGGCAGCAAACCCCACCACCCCCCTCCACCGGAGGGTCGGTGGGGCCCGACGCCCAGCCAGGGGCTCGCGTGGCTGGGGCGAGCCGCCTTCCCCTTCTAATTGGCTTCCCTCGGGCGGCGAGAAGCCGGCACGCTCCCAGCCGCTCCGATAAGCTCAAGCGTGCCAAAAAGCGGGCAGGCGTGGCGAGGGCCGGAGGGAGGAAGGGAGGAGACAACAACTCCCCCTCTCCATGCCGTCCAGAAGGGGGAAAACCCCGCACTGGGCCACAGAGCGCCGTGTATATATATATATAGGAGCCCCGCGGCAGGCGTGTGGCCAGCCTGCCGTCGGGGAAGGCGCGCTCCTCTCCTCTCCTCTCCTCCAGCCTGGGCTCCTTTCCTAGGCAGAGAACTTCGGCGTCGGCTCAGGTAAGCAGAAGCACCCGCCGCCCCGTCTTTCCCGCAGCGGGCGGCAGAGGCGAACCGCGCTCTGCTTATGCGCAGAGGCCTCCTGAGAGAAGCCACCCAAGTGCCGCGGAGAATGTCTATGAGCCGAACCGCCTTCGGGGAAGGAAGGGAGGTTTGGGGAGCCTCCGCTTTCCTTCACGGCGCGCGCGGGCCAAGGTTTTAGCCGGGTTGGGTCTCCCCCGGGCAACTTTTCTAATGGAGCCTCTGCTCTCCCCTCAGGATGCCTCCCCAGACGGCCACTTCGCCAGCCTCGCGGGAGACGAGCGAGGGAGGGACGCCCTCCTGGGCCATCTCGGACGACGAAGACGACGACGGCGGCGGCGCCTTCTCCTCCTCTTCTCCTTCGCGCGTCGCCGCCCGCGCGCTCGACTCTCCCGGTCCTGGCTTGCTTGCACTGGAGGCCCCGGGCGAGCGGTCGGGCCGCGGCGGAGCGCCCTGCGAGGGAGGCGTCCCCTCCAAGGCCAGAAGCCGTCGAGGCCGCGGCAAGGGCAAAAGCGACGGTCTCGGGGTGTCGGGCCGAGCCAAGCGGAGCCGGCGCGCGAAGGCCAACGACCGCGAGCGCAACCGGATGCACAACCTGAACTCGGCCCTGGATGCGCTGCGCGGCGTCCTGCCTTCCTTCCCCGACGACGCCAAGCTGACCAAGATCGAGACGCTCCGCTTCGCCCACAATTACATCTGGGCGCTCACCGAGACCCTCCGCCTGGCCGATCAGAGCGCGCTGGCCCGGCCGAGCCAGGAGGCCGCTTTCCCAGCGCTGGACGGCAACCCCGAAGGCCCCGTCGCCTGGCTCTGTCCCTGGGACTCGCCCGGCTCGCAAGAGAGCAGCCTCAGCCCCAGTGACTCTGCGGAGGACGCGCGCGTTTTCCGCCCTCCCTGTCTCAGGCTCCCCACCCAGGCCGCCTTTCCGGACTTCGTGTGAACCCCGTGCTTGGCGCAAGAGGTCGAACCAGGGCCAGGATCGGGGGGGGGGGGGGGGCCCTCTGGTGGTTGCTGCGATCCCAGGGCTGCTGGTGAGGGGAGTCTTAGCCTTTGCCTTAAATAGGAAGTTTCTCTCCACTTCCCTGCACTTTTCCCAAGGTCCTTCCTTTCTCTTCCTTTCCCCTTGATGAAGACTCCTGGGCAGGGGTGAAATCCAGCAGGTTCTGACAGGTTCTGGAGAACCGGTAGCGGAAATTTTGAGTAGCAAAAACCACCTGTGGCTGGCCCCAGAATGGGGTGGGAATGGAGATTTTGCAGTATCCTTCCCCCAAGAGTGGGGAGGGAATGGGGATTTTGCAGTATCCTTCCCCCTGGAATGGGGTGGGAATGGGGATTTTTTTTTTTTTTTTGCTTTAATTTATATGCCGCCCTTCTCTGGAGACTCAGAGCGGCTTACAATGCGTTAAGCAATAGCCTTCATACTTTTGTATATTTATACAAAGCCATCTTATTGCCCCCACAATCTGGGTCCTCATTTTACCTACCTTTGAAAGGATGGAAGGCTGAGTCAACCTTGAGCCTGGCGAGATTTGAACTTGCAGTAATTGCAAGCAGCAGATGTTAATAACAGTGCTTTAGTCCACTCTTTTTTGGAGTATCCTTCCCACTGGAGTGGGGAGGAATGGGGATTTTGCAGTATCCTTTCCCTGCCACGCCCAGCAAGCCACGCCCACAGAACCGGTAGTTAAAAAAAAATTGGATTTCACCACTGCTCCAGTGCTTAGCCCAAGGCTGATTGAAAGAATTGGGATTCAGTGGTAAAGGGATTTCTTCCCTGGTGTGATTGAACCATAAAAATCTGGCTGTCTGATTTGATATATCGAATGCTTGACTTAACAGGCTGTGGGATTCAGTGGCTGGCTACTTGGCTTGTTAAAATACTAAGAACAGTATTTCTGTAGTATGATTCCACTGCAGCTGAAAACTTTTTGAATATCCTTAAATTATTCAATGACGTATACTCCTCTTTTGAAGCTGCTTTTGCCAAGACTTTTGCTAGTGTGCGTTCCAGACTGATTGGTCATTCTGGGAAGTCTGGAGGGAGTAAGAATCCCTAGGGAAGTCCGCTTTAAACCTAGCTCTTAGACTCCCCTGTCAACTCTGGAATAAAGTTTTGTCACGCTTTGCTAATTAAGGTCTTCTTAAAAATTGGAGTACGTCTCTCTTGGAAAGGTTGCTTCACTTTATGTTGCAGTATGTAGAGCTGGGCAAGCCTACTCAGGCACACATACTGGTGAGTTTAGTGAGACACATTTTGAGATATATAGAGATATCTATATAAAGAATTGCAACCCTTCCTCCCAATACCTGCCTTTCTCAATCTTTCCATCTTGGAGGGGTGTCCAGGTGATACAATAGCACTTTTGAAACAATTTGTGTGAACAGCCTGCTAAGAATGTAAGGTGGAAGCACAATCCATCAATTTAAGTATTCACTCAGTTCTTCTTACATGGAAATAAATAGGATTTAAGTCTTGGTTGGGTTGGACAAACAATGGACATCCTTTGTTCCCACCTCCACCAAATCAGCTCTGTTCTGAATGTAGCTCTTTAAAAGTTGCTGAGTTCAGCTCAAAATTGTCTTATACTTCAGGGCTTTGCCACTTTGCCCAGTTGGGAGCAAATTAATTCTGAATATCAAATTTCCATCCCTTCTTTTGATAGAAATCCTCTCTGTATATTGAAGGATGGATAAACTTCCTTTTTTACGTTATTCTCAAATCACCCAGAGAGTACTTAATCAAGAGCACTTAATATAAATTATGAAGCCGTTTTTCCTTTTAACTATTCTGTGAGGGAATGATGTTCAGTGCAATTCTATACATGCCTACTCAAACCTAACTCCCCTTGCATTTAATGAGATTTATTGGGATCAGTTGGTTCTGAAGTAGGCAGATTTAAACTGGGGAAAGAGGGAGAGTAGCATTTTTCTTTTGAATGTTGCTTTTCTTGAAGAATACTTTGTTGGGACCCAGCTGCATGGCAGCAACTAACTAACTTTAACCTTAAAAAACTGAAAAGTATCGAAATAGGAAATTTCAGGGCTGTAGGCAAGACTGAAAATTATGTCCTTGAAGAAGGCAATGGCAAACCACTTCTATATGGTTACCAAGAAATTATATGAACTTCTGTATACAGTCATCAGAAGTTGAGCTCAGTTTGCGGTGACTATATCAATTTATTGGGGACTACAAATGGATGAAAGCCAGTTTGGTGTAGTTGTTAAGATGCCAGACTAGAAACTGAGAGACTGAATTCTAGTTCCACCTTAGACACAAATCTGGGCCAATCACACACTCAGCCATAGGAAGAAGTCAAGAGTAAACAACTCCTGAAAAGTTTGCCAGGAAAATGGCAAGAGACATCTCTACAAGACGACTCTTGTAACCAGGAGTCAAGAATGACGTGACACAAAGCAATCAATATATATGGCTCTTCCATTTTCTCTTTTTGTGTGTGTTATTCGATTGTCTTTTTCTTTCTATCTTGCCTTCCATCCCTTCCCCATCCCTGTAGAGGGAAAGATGACTCTAGAGATGCATGATACAAGCACTTCCAGACACTTCCAAAATGAAGCTGTCTTCACCTCTGACTTAGAGGAATTAATAGCTCAATCCATGGTATAAAAAGCACAATACATTCCCCTGAGAATGAGAAATAGCAAATGAATAAACTTAAATTAGTTTGTGTTATTCTGGAATAATGACTGTTAAGATGTTTTGTTTTGATCTTGGGTTCTTCTTGTAATTAAGAAATTGTGTGTGTGTGAGTGAGAGAGAGAGAGAGAGAGAGAGAGAAATCAGAAATGCCTATTCCTTTTAGGCAAAACTTCCTATTTTTCTTTTTTCTATGGAGAGATTGTAATTTATAAAAAATTATCATATTTATTGATTATATTATAGAACAAAGATATAAATATATGTGTATATATATAAATTTATTAAAAGTTTGGTACCTAAGATTATAAATTATATGTTTTGGAGAACGGTGATGGGAAAGATTAAAATTAATATTCACTAGCGATGGGGCATTGCATTTTCTTTGGAAATCTTTATTTGCCATTTTTCAATCTTCACAAGCACAATGGGAGTTTTGAATGGCACTCAGTTCTGGAGCATCTTTGGATGGAAAAGGTTGATATTTTTGCTTATCCTTTCCAGAAATAAAAGTCACCTTTGAAATCTTCAATTTTGAGTGTTCATCGTGTATGTGGAGAATCATTTACTTTTGAGTAAAGGTGACTCGCGATTTTTGCTCCAAGCAACTTGACTGCTTTGGAGTTACAGCCACTGCTGATGCGACTTCCGTAGTCTTCCCCACTGCCTTTTACAAGCAGACAAGAAAACCTACACTTTTCAGTAGGTTTTCTCTTAATTGATAGGAGCAGTTGTCAGCTACCCATTTCAACAGGTTGTCCACCCATTCTCCTTAGCTTCTGTTTAAAATAAATGGATTAATAGAATTGTACTGGGCCCTATCTAACAAAATGAAATTCAGTGTAGAAAAAAGTAAAGTCTTACACTTGGGCAAGGGACACGGTGGCTTGGTGGTTAAACTTGTCGATTGAAAGGTCGGCAGTTCAGCGGTTCAAATCCCTCGAAAGCATGTAAAAAATGCAAGTAGGAAAATAGGGACCACCTTTGGTGGGAAGGTAACAGTGTTCCATGCGCCTTTGGCATTTAGTCATGCCAGCCACATGACCATGGAGATGTCTTCGGACAGCGCTGGCTCTTTGGCTTTGAAACGGAGATGAGCACCGCCCCCTAGAGTCAGGAACGACTAACACATATGTGCGAGGGGAACTTTTACCTTTACTTACACTTAGGCAAGAAAAACCAAAAATACACATAGACTGGGTGAAACCAAGCTTAATAGCAGTAACTGACAGGGATCTTGGAGTCTTAGTGGACAACCAATTAAATATGAGCCAACAGTGTGCAGCGGCAGCCAAAGAAGCCAACACAATCCTAAATTGCATTAACAGAGAGATACAATCAAGATCAAGTGAGGTACTAATACCACTCTATAAAACCTTAGTAAGACCATACCTAGAATACAGCATCCAGTTTTGGTCACCACACTATAAAAAAGATGTTGAGACTCTAGAAAAAGTGCAGAGAAGAGCAACCAGGAAGATTAGGGGACTGGAGACTAAAACATTTGAAGAACAGTTACAGGAACTGGGCATGGCTAGTCTAGTGAAGAGAAGGACCAGGAGAGACACGATAGCCGTGTTCCAATATTTGAGGGGCTGCCACAGAGAGGAAGGGGTCAAGCTTTTTTCCAAAGCACCTGAAGGCCAGATAAGGAATAATGGATGGAAACTGAACAAGGAGAGATTCAACTTGGAAATAAGCAGAAATTTTCTGTCAGAGCAATCAACCAATGGAATAGCTTGTCTTCAGAAGTTGTGGGAGACTTATGGGTATGTAATAGTATCCATTGATACATTTTTGTGTGTGCCACTTGACGACTTAAAAAAAAACACACCTCAAAATTCCAGATGTTCCCAACAGCTCACAAAAGTTGGGGAGAGCACGAGAGCTGGAGGCTATGTTAGAGTATGAAGTTGTAAACAATGTCTTTCCAATTAATATCAATATTATTACCCTTGGGCTTCAGTGAAATGCAGGCAGCAAATTTTGGACATTTTAAAAGCAGACTTAGGACTCTGTATATATTAGTAATTGAATATATGTTCCCCACCTAATCAGGGAAATGGAACTGCCAATTTCATAGCACCTCTTGTGTTGCCACCAAAGCACGTTACAGTTCTGCAAAAGTGTCTCAATTTATCTCCAGGATGACATATGACACTAATCAAAACCTGGACAAAGGTTGAATAGCTAACATACATGTGAAGGACGCTGTTGTTCCATTCTTGGGGATTTGATTGAATAGGCTAAGATAAATGGATGATGATTAGGCATGTTTGCCGGGC